TTTTGCTCCAGCCTTGGTGCTTATGGAATCTCCTCTCTACATATGACTACATTATGTTCAGGGATCTGCCTGTTAAAAATGACCTGAGATATACACGAGGCAACAGAGGACTCTCCTGAGACAGGAAGGTAAGAAGTGCGATTCCACCAGATGCTAAACATTTTATCCTCCTGCCTCTCATCTGCTAGAGATTCTAGCAGATCTCTGATCATCTTCTCCTCTAATCCTCACTGTTTCTTTTTTATTTTGCTTTATTACTTTGGAATTTGGAAAACAGGGAGAGCAAATAAAAGGAGAGACAAATAGAGAAAGAGGTGTTAGAGTGGTACCCAAGGCACTTTAACCTGATTTGGAAGTGGAGAGCACTGTCAAGGAAGTTGAGTGCAGCCTTAGGAAACCCCATTACTGGGAAAAGAAGAAGATAAAAGAGTTGGCAACTCTTCCCATAAAGTCTCCTTCTCAGGGAAGTCTTTCTGATGAAGCTCTCCATTCTCAGGTCAGTTAGGACTTTATCAATCTTCCCATCCCATGGTGAGTACTTTATTTACCCTAAACACGTTCACTTTGGTTACATGTTCCTTTTGTGGCCTCTTTCAGGTCGCAGTCAGAGGCCCTCTTAGGTCAAATTATGTACTCCTGAGGAGGTCCTAAGGGCTTATGCTCCGCAGGGAGATACTTAAGAGATATTCTATTTGCTGAACATTTGTGGAACAATGACCATGTATGAAACATTGTGCTTCATTATATAGGCATTCTGAGAGAAAGGTCTAACCTGGGACACTGAGGAGCTTGCAAGTGAAGAGTAGAGAATAAGAGAGATAGCTGCTTAACTTTAATGCAAAGCAGAAATAAGTACATGAGAAAAACGCTAACCAAGGGTGCTGGGAATCTATCTATCTATCTATCTATCTATCTATCTATCCATCCATCTATTTGTCTATCTGGAGATAGGGTCTCATTCTGTTGCCCAGATTGGAGTGCAGTGGTGTGATCATAACTCACTACAGCTTTGAACTCCTGGACTCAAGTGATCTTACTACCTCAGCCTTCCAAATAGCTAGGACTGTTGGTGCATGTCACCACACCTGGCTAATTTTTTTTTTTTTGAACCGTTTGTGGAGATGAGGTCTCACTAAGTTCCCCAGGCTAGTCTCAAACTCCTGGCCTTAAACAGCCTTCCTGCCTTGGCCTCCCAAAGTGTTAGGATTATAGACATGAGCCACTGTGCCTGGACTGGCACTGGGAATTTAAAGGAATGAGGCAGCACATCTGATGGGGGAGATCAGAAATAATACCAAGAAGGAAGATGCATTTGCAGTGCATCTTGAATAAGTGAGCCAAGTCAGTGTCCAGAAATCACTGGCACATTTGTGGAATAGCGGTTTGGTTCTGATAGAGAAAAGAGTATGAGGTGATGGTGGGTACAGCAGCCAAGGCCATGAAGAGGAGATGGAGTCAAAACCAGGCCATTCGGTTGCTGGGGTACATGACAGGTACACATCTCTAGATTCCGCCCCCCCGCAAATGTTGATTTTCTGTGAGCATGTAGGAGTTCCACTTTTTCTCTTGAGCTTGTTACTTAGTTATTGAGAGGTCTTTCATTTTATTTTCCCACTGAATATATAATTTGTACTAAAAGAAGAAAAGACTGAAAATGAGGTTGAGTACTGAGCTTGAAGGTCCTGAATTCATATGGGTGAGCCATGATAAGAGCTGTAACTAGGAGGATTTGTTTGCAGGGTTAATTTAGTGTGAGAGACAGGAAGGAACCCCTGCTTTGTCCAAGTGGGTGGTTTAATGGCCTTAATCTATAGAATGTACAGTGATGGAGAAAGAAAGTGGCGTTGAAAATCTAAGGTAACACTCAGGTTTCAAGCCTAGGAAGTTGAGAGAATGGCAAGGCCGTGAATAGAAACACGGAATGAGTATAAGACTGATTTGAGATGGAGGATGGTGACTTTGCTTTGTGACATGTTTAATCACTGTAGATAGAGATTTGAAGGTCATTTGTAAAAGTGAACTTTGAAAATAGAAGCGTGTTTAGCACTAAAAAGAGAGAAGAAAAGGGCCAAGGACAGAAATCTGAGGAGCCATCCTTTGATGGCTTGTTGGGGGATGGAGCAGCATAGTCAGAGTAATGAAAGTGAACCAGGGGAGGGCAGTGGCACCACAGCTCAGGGAGCCCAGAGCATCCAAGTGGTTTGGATACTGCCTGCAACATGGTGGGCTCTCAAGAAAGTCTTTTGAACTAAGCTGAGAGAGATGTAAGATGATAGAGATTTGGTGAATGAGTGATGTGGTATCCCTACTGAGGGAAGCTTCAGCAGAGACTGGGGTCAGAAGCCATATGCAGAGGCTGTGGAACAAGTAAGTGGTAAGGAAAGGGAGTTAGGGTGTGACTGTTTTTGGAAATGGTTTGATAGAGAAGGAAAGAGGACATGGGAGAGTAGCACTGCTTGGGAAGGTTTCTTTTTAAGAAGTCAGGAAAAACCTGTGGCAGGGATGGATGGAAAGGAGAGACCGAGGATAACAGAAGCAACAGGACCCCAGGAGGGCGAGAAGCAATGGGATAGAGTCATACTCATTAACATACTCAGCTTGGCAGAGGAGAGCAAGCCAGACTGAGGAAGAGAAGAACTTCCATCTCTTCTCAGTAAAACCTGAAGTGAGGGCTGGGTACAGTGGTTCATACCTGTAATCCCAGTACTTTGAGAGGCTGAGGCCAGAGGATCGTTTGCGCTTGGGAGTTTGAAATGAGCCAGGTCAACATGTCAGGAACTTGTCTCTACTAAAAATCAGGCAGATTTCCAGGGTGTGTTGGTGCATGCTTGAGGTCTCAGCTATACAGGAAGATCACATGAACCTGAGAGTTTGAGGCTACAGTGAATGGTGATCACACCACTGCACTCTAGCCTGGGCGACAGAGCGAGACTCTGTCTAAAAAACAAAGGAAAAAAAAAAGAACATTTAAAAACTGATGGAATGTCACCTGTTCTCAGCAGGAAGGAATGTAGATAAGGTTGTGGATTTGAAGACAGTGGGTAAGGATTAGAACAGCTCCTTTGGTGGAAGATGTGGGGACTGGGTCTGAGATCTAGAGTGCTGAGCAGCAGTAACCAGGCAGAAATGGGAGAAGACTAAGGCACGGTACACTGGGCATGGGAGCATCAGCAGCCCCAAAGCTACTGATTCTGGGCTCCAGGTTTGGCAGGAAGGCAAGGGGAAGCCAGGTAGAGGTGACAGAGACCTGGAAATCAGGATCAAAACCAAAGCAGGTTTATAGAAGGAATGAGGCTGGATGTGGTGGCTCATGCCTGTGAACCCAGCACTTTGGGAGGTGGAGACAGTAGGATTGCTTGGGGTAAGAAATTTGAGATTAGCTTGGGCAATATGGCAAGACCCCATCTCTACAAAAAATTTTAAAAATTAGCTGGGTGTGGTGGTGCACACCTGTATTCCTGGCTACTTGGGAGACTGAGGTGGGAGGATTGCTTGAACCCAGGAGTTCGAGGTTGCAGTGAGATATGACCATGCTACTGCCCTCTACCCTGGGCGACAGAGTGAGATACTATCTCAAGAATAAAAAGAAGGAATAGGAGTGGAGAAACTAGGGAGGAAACACTATTGGGTCACTTATTTTCTCATGTTACCCTCTCTTTGTACAATATTTAATGTCTTTTTTTAACCCTAACCCCACCCTTCTCATGACTTACAATTAGTTTCTTTTAGTATTATTCTAGATTGTATATTCTACAATGCAGAAAATAAAATAATGGAAGGTGATCCTAGGATGAATACATCCAAGGCTGTTACAGCTTATTCTAGGCATTGTGTTAAGCATTTTGCATGCAAAACCTTATTTACTACTTATGAAAACTCCAATTAAATAACAAACTTTAAATATTTCTTCTTAAAGATGAATCACAGAGAGATTAAATTGTTCAAGGTCACATGGCTAGGGAATGATGGAATTGAGTTTTGGACACAGGTAGGCTGATTTGAGCCTTACCTGTGCTCTTAACCACTTTTCTGCCTCCCTGCCAAGACCTGCCACACTTGTAAGCAACTGTGTCAGCTTTTTAAAAAATCACTCAATCCCAGCACTTTGGGAGGCTGACTGATCACCAGGTCAGGAGTTCAAGACCAGCTTGGCCAACATGGTAAAACCCCATCTCTGCTAAAAATATAAAAATACACAAGTATGCATGGTGGTGCATACTTGTAGTCCCAGGTACTTGGGAGGCCGAGGCAGGAGAATCGCTTGAACCTGGGTGGTGGAGGTTTCAGTGAGCTGAGGTCACACCACTACACTCCAGCTTGGACAGCAGAATAAGACTTCGTCTCGAAACAAAAGAAAATCACTCAAATTGTCATTGTCATAACAATAACTAACATCTGAATCAGCCTTTACAATTTGCAAAGCACATTGTTTCTTTCAGTCTTCGCAAGATCTCTGTGAAGTTTGCAGGCATGTGCAGCATAAAGAAAGAGACCCTCAACTCCAAAATCTTTTTTTTTTTTTGAGACGGAGTTTCGCTCTTGTTACCCAGGCTGGAGTGCAATGGCGCGATCTCGGCTCACCGCAACCTCCGCCTCCTGGGTTCAGGCAATTCTCCTGCCTCAGCCTCCTGAGTAGCTGGGATTACAGGCATGCGCCACCATGCCCAGCTAATTTTTTGTAGTTTTTAGTAGAGACGGGGTTTCACCGTGTTGACCAGGATGGTCTCGATCTCTTGACCTCGTGATCCACCCGCCTCGGCCTCCCAAAGTGCTGGGATTACAGGCTTGAGCCACCGCGCCCGGCCTAACTCCAAAATCTCTATATCTTTACTGCTGGAAGTCTTTGAAGTTTTGTTATTTCAGAGTTGTGACCAGGCCAAAGAACTGTGATATCAGAGTTGTGACCAGGCCAAAGAACTGTGATATTTCTTCTTAACTATGCTAGGATTTTTTTTTTCTACTAAAGGAGTTCTCTCCACAGACCTTCTACTTCTTTCCAGGTCATAGAACTCTGTATGTGGGAGTTCGGATGCCGCTGGGCAGGCAGAGTCATCGGCACCACCGCACTCATGGCCAGAAGCACCGGAGGCGAGGGCGGGGTAAAGGAGCCAGCCAGGGGGAGGAAGGCCTGGAAGCCCTGGCCCATGGTAATGGCCTTCCGAGACTGGGAGATGAAGGGCGGGAGATGAAGGGCGGGTTTCCATCGCCCGGAGGCATGGGGAGTCTGAGGGAACATGTGACTGACATTAGCAGCTGGTCTTGATTCTCCAGCCCTTTGTAGGATTTTCAGAGCTGCTTCCAAGAAGAAATGCCTCTTAAAAGTCAAAAATATTAAGGCCGGGCGCGGTGGCTCAAGCCTGTAATCCCAGCACTTTGGGAGGCCGAGGCAGGTGGATCACGAGGTCAAGAGATCGAGACCATCCTGGTCAACATGGTGAAACCCCGTCTCTACTAAAAATACAAAAAATTAGCTGGGCATGGTGGTGCGTGCCTGTAATCCCAGCTACTCAGGAGGCTGAGGCAGGAGAATTGCCTGAACCCAGGAGGCGGAGGTTGCGGTGAGCTGAGATCGCCCCATTGCACTCCAGCCTGGGTAACATGAGTGAAACTCCCTCTCAATCCTAAAAAACAAAAAAAAAAAGTCAAAAATATTTTCATGAAAACTTCACAGTTCTGACCCCCCTAAAATCAATATCATAATAGGTAAAATCCCTTGCTAGAGAATTAGCCAACCATTTTGATCAAATTCATCAGTTTTCCAGTTTCTTGTGGGTTTTCTTCAAGTGGTCTTCATTCATAAATTTTTTCTCCCATGAAACTACTTGTACAGAGTAGCTTTTTCTCTTGGAATAAAGAAATCTTTTTCATCTGCGTTCGTGGCTGTCTATATATATCCCTAAAGTTGTTAGGTAAGGCAAAATGATATTTCTGTTCTAAGTGTGAGGCTAGAGCAGACCTTTCTCTTTGGTTGATTTCCTAGACACACCATCTCAGCGTGTTCAGTTCATTCTTGGCACCGAGGAAGATGAAGAGCATGTGCCTCATGAGCTGTTTACAGAGCTGGATGAGATCTGTATGAAAGAGGGAGAAGATGCTGAGTGGAAGGAAACAGCCAGGTGAGGCCCTAAAATGGCCTGCATCAAGATCTGCTTCGGTAGGCAAATGTGTACCTTTCAGCAAGTGACAGGCCTGCCTGCTTTGTTTCTTCTTGGGAGAAGAAGGGGGACTGACATGGGGACTGACATTCTAGGGTCTCTGGTGGAAATCTTTGATGTTGGCCTCTTTGTTATGCCTTTGGTGATACCTATGCCAGTTAACCTGGAGGATGGGATTGGTGAAATAAACATAGGATATTCAAGGGGTCTCGTCTCATTTGTTTGGGGCTCAGAGTAAGTTTACGGGCTCTCTTGGTATTACTATAGGTCTGGCTTAGAAGATGTGGACAGGGCCACCTTGGTGGGGACCTGGTTAAGCAGACATAGCATTGGTCCAGACTTCTTCTGCAGGTGAACCACAGGGTTCAGATTCACTGGCAGTCAGAGTTTTTGAGACTTTAACTTCCTCTGGGACAATTCAACCTCATAAACACCCTTGGGATTATAACCAGCCTGACTGTTGGCTTCCTGGAGTGATTGTAGAATAACTGCTTGTTTGAGACTCAAATCCCAGAAGAGCCCTCAGGGGGCATGTCTAGGCTCTTCTAGTAACTGACCAGTGAACCTTATAGATGATGCTTGAGACTCAGGGAAGGAGGGAGGTGCGTAATTAGCAAAGCGTGGCTCCAGCTCTCACTGAAACAGCTCTTGCTGAATGCCTGCTGTATTGTGAATGTTATGGGTTGAGAGATTTAAACGGGCCAATTGACCTGGTATCAGGTGAAAAGGAAATTATTCGTTTGTTATTCCATCTTGGCATGCTTCTAAAGGTCACACAGAACACTGAACACTAAAGGTCACACAGGACAGAGATAAAAAGAAAAATATCATTTTATTAATGTGATTTGTCAATGTGTCCAAGTGATAGAGATTAAATCTATTTTTATTGTACAGGTAATGCATGCTTATTATAGAACGTTTAAGAATAGAGATAGGGCCGGGCGCGGTGGCTCAAGCCTGTAATCCCAGCACTTTGGGAGGCCGAGGCGGGTGGATCACGAGGTCAAGAGATCGAGACCATCCTGGTCAACATGGTGAAACCCCGTCTCTACTAAAAATACAAAAAATTCGCTGGGCATGGTGGCGCGTGCCTGTAATCCCAGCTACTCAGGAGGCTGAGGCAGGAGAATTGCCTGAACCCAGGAGGCGGAGGTTGCGGTGAGCCGAGATGGCGCCATTGCACTCCAGCCTGGGTAACATGAGTGAAACTCGGTCTCAAAAAATAAAAAAATAAAAAAAAAAAATAAAGATAAGCAAAAAGAAGAAAAAAATTATCTGTAATCTCATAACTGCAGGGTTAATGAGGAGTATAATATTTGGTGTCTTATACATGTATGTGTTTGACTTTTAAAATTTTCTTTAAATAAGAATGGAATTAAACTATACTCAATCTTGCAGTGTTCTATTACCTGCTTTTTAAACTTACCAATGTACCCTGAACATATAGATTTTACAGTGCTCAGTATGACTATTCAGATAGCTTCCTCTATGGCTTACATTGAAGATTCTCTCTTGAAAATTCCTCATTTTCTATCTTTGGCATCTAGCTATTTGTAATGCTTTCAGGTGGCTGAAGTTTGAAGAAGATGTTGAAGATGGAGGAGAACGCTGGAGCAAGCCTTACGTGGCAACCCTTTCATTGCACAGTCTGTTTGAGCTAAGAAGCTGCCTTATTAATGGAACAGTCCTTCTGGATATGCGTGCAAATAGCATAGAAGAAATTTCAGGTAAGGTTGGGGAAGGGAAAACAGAGAGACTTTCTTGTAAATTTAAGAAGTGTGGGGGGAAAAAGAGTATGGTGTGGCAGAAAGAATACAGTGGCTTGTATGTCCTTGGGCAAGCCACAACCTTCCTGGCCTCAGTGTCCTTGGCTGTGGGAAGGGTTTCAGGTGAATAAATGACTCTACCTACTTCACAGGTGTATTATGGAATTCAAATCACATGGTGTTAAATTTTCATTTGTCTGTTCATTCAGCAAATATTTTATTTTGTATCTGCTATATACTTGATGACGTGCTAGGCAAGAGGGAATAAAGTCCCCTTGGGTGCAGTGGCTCATGCCTGTAATTCCAGCACTTTGTGGGCTGAAGTGGGTGGATAGCTTGAGCTCAGGAGTTCCAGACCAGCCTGGTCAACATGGTGAAACCCTGTCTCTACAAAAAATAGAAAAATTAGCTGGGAGTGGTGGCTTATACCTGTAGTCCCAGTTATTCAAGAAGCTGAGGCATGAAGATCGCTTGAGCCCTGATGGTCAAGGCTGCAGTGAGCTGAGATTGTGCCACTGCACTCCAGCCTGGGTGATAGAGCGAGACCCTGTCTCTTAAAAAAGAAAAAAAAAAGAGAAAGAAAGGATTCCTACCTTCAAGGAGCTCACCTTCAAATGGGGAAATAGCCATGGAAATGACAATTAAAATAAGTGCAACAACAGAGATATGCTTGATAGTAGTAATTAGAGAAAGGGGCAACTGGAAGTTGTGTGTAGAAAAAAGTAAACAGAATTAAAGACTTTAAATTATAGCATCTAGGGCAGATATGCAGGAACTTGAGCCAAAGTGCCCCTACTTCTTCAGTAAGATGTGAGGGGGAGATGTCTGATTGTGCTTCCTGATGTGATTGAGTGTTAAATTAGTATATTTGGGGCCTGGATGGAGAAACACCTGGGTGCACGAGGGACTTTTCCCTTGAATTGGTTCTGTTTGACTGGACAGGTTAAAGAAATATTTCTCCAAACCTTTCTCTATTTCAAGCATTCAAGTAATTCTGTCTCTTTGGGATCATAGGAGGACCCAGGGGAGGGATAAGCACTGATGGGATATTGGGTCCCCTTCTTTTTCAAGGAGGTGCCCCAGAAGTATCGCTCTGACTGCCTGGGAACAATGGAATTCTCATGTCCACCATTGGAGTCACATTTAGCTAACTTTTGACTACTTGTCTGAAATTCCATGAATGTCCCTTAAAAGGCTGTTTGTTAGAGAGAAGAATCCCTGGGAGCTATTGAAGCTGTTTAAAACTCTTTGTAAACAACAGCAGCCACTGGAGAGTTTTGGACAGGGTAATGATCAATCAGATTTTTCATATTATAAAGATAATTATGACAGCAATATAGAGGGTCAGTTGAAGGGAGAAATGCATTAAGCTATTGCAGTAGTTCAGGTGAGATGTCACCTGCACTGTGAGCAGTGATAGTAAGGGATGGCTAATTTTTCTTCTGAGAACTTTAGGTGATAAGAGAGACAGGAGGCAGTAGATAGAGGGAGACATGATGTGGATGTTCTTTCTTTTTCCCCCAAGATGAAGGGTCCCGAAGCATGATTAGAATATTGGGGTGGGGTGGGGAAGGAACCAATGAATATAAAGATTAAACATACAGAAATATGGCTCTTCAGCTTGATTATGGAATAGATTAGCCTCATTTATTGCGTCTAGTACTTGGATAGTCATGGATGGAATTAGAAATTTAGGATAGGTTGAGAGTTTTAGGAGGCTTTTGAAGTATTATGTAGGACTGAAGTAAAAGTGCTATGATTCTTCACATCAGGTACCTAATATAGTCATAATACTTTAGTGATAAGGATCAGCAAAGTATATCAGGAGAATCAGCACTCTCTCTATATCATCTCATTTAATTTTCTGTAATACCCTTCTAACATAGGTAATATGAGTTCCATGTTACAGATGAAGAACTAAGGTATAGAGAGAGTATGTATCTTGCCCAAGATCACTCATCTAGAAAGTGGTAGAAAAAGGAAGCAATGTAGGCCTTTAACTCCAGAACCCATACTGATAACTGCTATGTTTACTGACACTTATCACTAGGTATTGAAATTTTTTTCCCCTCAACTCCATTGGCCTTGATAGGTTTCGAGGTGATGCTTGTTGGTAATTGTCTGGGGTGAGTGGTTAGTTAACTTAATTTTTCTTATAGATTCCTCTTCTAAATAGCCCTTTGGAGTTCTACAGTTATAATTCTTCTTGACAATCACAGCAATGTCAAAATCTTGGAGGAAGGGAATGTAGGGAAAATTTAGCAGATGACAGAACAAAGTAGGTAATAATGTGAGCTTTCAAATTATATAGTCCTGAATTTGAATCCTAGCTCTGCAAACTACTAGATGTAAGACCTTGGAGAATTTTCTAGCATTTGTGCCTCAGTTTCCTTATTTGTGAAGACTGTTGTACTAGTACTCAATAGTTTCTATGCCCAATCATAATAATTTGTTGCATGAATAAAGTATAACTTTTCACAGTCACTATCATCAAATAGCACTTTCAGACATGAAGCTGAAATTGCACCTCAATAGCTGTAGTGGAGCTGCTTCCCCCTACTCCATGCCTTTACCCCATTCCACCTGTTCATTAACCCTCAGTCTGAGTGTTCATGTGAGTGCCTACTTTCCAGACCTGATCCTGGATCAGCAAGAACTGTCCAGTGACCTGAATGATTGCATGAGGGTTAAAGTGCGGGAAGCCCTTCTCAAAAAGCATCATCATCAGAACGAAAAGAAGAGAAACAACCTCATTCCCATTGTTCGCTCCTTTGCTGAGGTTGGCAAGAAGCAGTCCGATCCACATTCGATGGATAAACATGGTAAGATTATTAGGTGATTTTTCTCTCTTTATTAACAAGAAATTTGGGAACTAGTTGGAGATGCTGACTTACCAGGGGTCGGGGCTGTATTTGTCTAATATGTTTCCATGTCTACTTAGGCACTTAGTACTTTTTGGAGACTGGTAAGGTGGGTGGCTGGGACTGCTGCCCGTCTCTCTCTCAGAGCACTAGGGATGCATTCCTCAGATAGTTCTCAATGGACCTAAGGTGAGGGACTTACGCCCTAGGGTGGCCTCAGAACTGATGTAGCTTTTGAGAGATATCCATAATGGGGATAATTTGAGACGAGAGAAGGTAAATTGGAGCTTTTTAGGAATAGACAAATGTCTTAGATTAGGGAGGCAAAATACAGTAGTGGAGGCTCTTGAGTCAGACTTGTAGGCTTGTGATTCTGGCTTTACCACTCAGTGTATGACTTTGGGCAATCTACTAAGCCTCTTTAAGTCTCACTTTCTTACCTATAAAATAAGAGTACTGATAGGACCTACTCCGTAAATTTATTGTGAACTTCAACGAGTTAATCTATGTGAGGGCCTTAACCCAGATGCATGGTGGATGATAAACACTCAGAATTTCGGCTGCTGATTGGTTCCTTTTCCTGTGGCCAGGCAGGGCCTCATCTACATTCATTTCCTGAGTATTACCCATACTGAAGCACCATGAGCAGGGGATATGCCTGGGAATCTATATTTTTGAAAAGTTTTCCATAGAGGTCTCTTATAAGCATGTCTGGTTAAGGATCACTACCTTAGTAGAGAAATAAAAGAGGGTTACAAATGTGTTCAGAAAGAAGGTGCAGAAGTAGTAAGAGCTCTGTCCTCCCCTTACCACTAACTAGTAGGTAAGGAGAAAGGTGTATGTGGGTCTTGACTTCGTAGTCATCTTAACCTCTTCTCTATGTAGGCTTTGCAGGAGAAGGCAGAGCCAGTTGACTGATGGATGGGGTATGTCAGAGGGGAAAAGGGCAGGGACTCAGGATTTTGATTGATTTTCTCCAAATAGGTCAAACTGTGTCCCCTCAGTCTGTTCCAACTACAAGTCTTGAAGTAAAAAATGGAGTGAATTGTGAACATAGTCCTGTGGATTTAAGCAAGGTGAGCAGAATCATGGGAAATTGGCTTCCAGGCCTACGGTTCTTTTTAGTGGAATCCAGAGTTCAATTTCTGGAATCTGGGTAAGGTTTAGTGTTTCAAGACGCTTTTCCCAAGACTAGAGCCCTTTCTGCATGAAAGGAGGCCCATCTGGGCATGTCTTTTCCCTTCTACTTCAGCCTGGATGAAGCTGACTCAGCAGTTTCTTCCTCCAGATTTAATATGCTGAAAACTGAGACTAGCTACTGAGAATCTTCCCTAACACAGATCTCTGGATTTTTCTGTTATTTTTTTGGTACCTGCTCTCCAGCAGTTCTTCTCACCCCCAAGGGTTTTGGATATCTATTTAGAGACAGATGTCTCCTAAGACTAACTCTTGGTTGAAGCTCTCCTTGAGGACTGTGACTTTGGTATTTGAGGCCTTCTGCAGTAGCAGTGCCTCACTGCAGCTTCTGGTCCAAGCCTTGGTCTCCCTGCCTCCAGCCTCTCCTTGTTCTGGTCTATCTTTTTTTTTTTTTTTTTTTGAGACGGAGTTTCGCTCTCGTTACCCAGGCTGGAGTGCAATGGCACGATCTTGGCTCACCGCAACCTCCGCCTCCTGGGTTCAGGCAATTCTCCTGCCTCAGCTGGTACTACAGGCAAGCGCCACCATGCCCAGCTAATTTTTTGTGTTTTTAGTAGAGACGGGGTTTCACCATGTTGACCAGGATGGTCTCCATCTCTTGACCTCGTGATCCACCCGCCTCGGCCTCCCAAAGTGCTGGGATTACAGGCGTGAGCCACCGCGCCCGGCTTGTTCTGGTCTATCTTTAACCCTGTGTTTCTAAAACACAGATAGTGTTATAGCACTTTCTCTGCTCTTAAGGCTCTTCATTTTATTTAGAAAACCTGAAACCTCTGACAAAACCTTTGAGTATTTAAAAAGGGAAAGAATGTGACCCAGAGCTTCAGAAACACTTCTCTTGGAGGAAGCTTGGAGGAATGGGATTGAAATCAGAATAGCTAGTTTTAAAATCTGAATCTATACCTTAAAAGCTCTGTGGTCCTGGGCAAGTCAACTTCACCTCTCTGGGTTTCAGATGCTTCATTTTTTTTCTTTAAGTGGGACAAATACAATCTGTCATATCCTCCTTCTGGGGTTTTTGTAAGGATAAAATAAAATAGTGTGAGAAAACGTTTGCTAACTGTAAAATGACATATGAGTGTAAGGTATGAGGAGGGTGATTGATATTTAAGGTGATAGGGCCAGGTGCAGTGGCTCACACCTGTAATCTCAGCACTTTGGGAGGCTGAGGCAGGTGGATCACATGAGGCCAGAGTTTGAGATTAGTCTGGCAAACATGGCAAAACTCTATCTCTACTAAAAATACAGAAAAATTAGCTGGACATGGTGGTGCATGCCTATAATTCTAGCTACTAGGGAGCTTAAAGCACAAGAATTGCTTGAACCTGGGAGGTGGAGGTTGCATTGAGCTGAGATCGTGCCACTGCACTCCAGCGTGGGTGACGGAGTGAGACTCTGTCTCAAAAAAAAGTAAATAAAAAAATTTAAAAATGATATTTAAGGTGGTGGTTCCCAAGTTGTCAGAGGATTCTTTTGGACTTTTAGGTAGACCTTCATTTCATGAAAAAAATTCCTACTGGGGCTGAGGCCTCCAATGTCCTGGTTGGCGAGGTGGATATTTTGGACCGTCCCATTGTTGCCTTTGTGAGGCTGTCTCCAGCTGTTCTTCTCTCAGGCCTAACAGAAGTGCCAATCCCAACAAGGTAAAGGCAAAGATATAACTCATGCATTCTATCCAAAGTTCAAATTTATGCAGTACTGGTAGAAGAAACCAGTTAATATTGAAATTTAGAATTAATTAATTTTAGGAATGGTGTTTACAATTCAGCAGAAAAGCCAGATGTGCTGGTGTGTGCCTCTAGTCCCAACTACTTGAGAGGCTGAGGTGGGGGGATTACTTGAGCCCAGGAGTTTGAGCCTGCAGTGAGTTAGAGTCCTAGGATTGCACCATGGCAAACCAGTGTGGGCAACAGAGTCAGACCCTGTCTTAAAAAAAAAAAATCAGCAGTAATCTCAGAAAACTGAGGTATATTTGATTAACTACCATGAAGAGAAATTCTGAGATTTCTGAGGCTGTGACTGCACAGCACCGATAGCCCTGGAAATACAGAACTGAAGAGCATTCAAAGGACATAGCAAGGGCCAATAACTTGTTAAAATAGGAAGTCAAGCGTTATCTTCTCAGTTCTATAAAGCCATATCGCAGGGAAACGTCTCTTAATAAAGGTATTTGTTTTTCTTTACACAATTCTGGCAGGGTTTATATGGTTTGCAGATGTGCACACATTTGTTCAAAAGGCTATTCATATGCTCTGAAGGTGGTGATGCTGGTGATTCAGAGCTCTGCTACTTACAGGGAGTATTCAGATGTCCAGAACACAATTTAGACTCCTCTGTAAGGCTTGATCATTTCAACCTTCTTATCCCTCTCCTCTCCCCATCATTTTCTTATTAGAAAAATAAATGGAATTCAGATAACCCTGAATTTGCACCACAATGCCATGTTTTGAAAAAACATCTTTTCTGCAGCTGGGAATTGTGTCTATAGAAACCATAAGAGATATAACCACATTGTTGAATGATGCCACACAATAGCATCGAATGCCCATAGTGGAGCTATTATTAGGTCAAGGCAACTCAAAGTGCTCCTTCATTACTGTCTCCTTTTTTTTTTTGAAGGTACAGTGATGATTTCTGTATGACAGGAGAGAGAAATCTTATGCTATTTAGACAGGACTAAGATGGCACTCCTTTATATTTATTTACATCATTTCCTCCTCTGTATGTTTTGCCAGATTTTTGTTTATCTTATTGGGTCCAGTAGGGAAAGGTCAGCAGTACCATGAGATTGGCAGATCCATGGCCACCATCATGACAGATGAGGTATGTGCAACTTCTGCTTCATTTCTTCCATCTCATAAGTATTTATTGAATGTTTACTCTGTGCCAGGCACTGTGCTAGTTGTTGGGGATAAAATACTTTCCATTGCAATGTCTGCTGGGAAGTAGTTCAACTGAGAGCCTAGTGTAGAAGGACCAAGCTCTAGAGGATTTTTCTTCCTATGTTAATTCTCATTTTTTGAGTAGTCAAGGATGCAGAGAAATCTTTTTCTGGGGAAACTATTACTGTCAAGTAGGATATATAGAGAAATATATTAAGGTTGGCTTAACTTTCAAGAGAAGATGGTTAATTAAATACATTCAAGCTATTTACATAAAGAAACCTCACTCCTGTTCCACTAAATGAGATCAGTTTGTATAAGCTCATGGGTATGACCTCAGGCAGTGTAGTATGAATGTCTTGACTAGTCTGCACCAAAACAACCAGATATTTTGACATTGTATTGAACCCACAGTGCATACTTTGGAAAGAACTGTACCACTCTGTAAGCTGCAAAGTAGGACTTTCAAGGCATATGCCTTAAGGGGGAAGAAGGAGGTGTGGCCTGTTTTTTATCAGCTTTCTTTGATTGAGAGGCTTAATTTGTGGAGGACATTCACTAGTAATTCTAGCCAGTGTTTCCAACCTTTATGATCAAGAAAATTTTCCTCTCAACCTGGGAAAGCTGATTAAAAAAATATTTTTTTCATACATCTTGCTTTTCCTTCCATCCTTTGTGGAGATAACATATTTTTACACCTTTAGAGTCATGTCTTATCTCTTCTTATACTAGCAGACATATATATAGTTCTTTTTGATGCATCTCATCTCTACACTTGTGTTTTAAATCCTTTTATCCTTACACTTCTCTAGGTGCTAAAGTTTCTGCATCTCAGATCCCCATAATAGAGATAAAAATCAAGAGGTTTTATCCATTTTTTACCATATCCATTGGTGATTGTTTCATGTAAAGTTTCTCTTAAGTTTCCTGAGGGTTTTTTTCTTCTCTGTAGATTTTTCATGATGTAGCATATAAGGCAAAAGAGCGAGATGATCTCCTGGCAGGGATTGACGAGTTCCTTGACCAGGTGACGGTGCTCCCTCCAGGAGAGTGGGATCCCTCCATTAGAATTGAGCCACCCAAAAACGTCCCTTCCCAGGTAATGTATGCACATTACCCAGTGTGACTATTGTCATTTACTGACTGCCCACCATGGACAAAGCAAAGACCATGTGGGTATATGCTAAATATATCAAGATGCAGCCCTGTTTTGGTACACCTAGAATGTCAAAACAGTAATAAAAATTATTCTGGGCTGGGTGTGGTGGCTCACGCCTGTAATCCCAGCACTTTGGGACACCAAGGCAGCTGGATTACCTGACATCAGGAGTTTAAGACCAGCCTGGCCAACATGGTGAAATCCTGTCTCTACTAAAAATACAAAAATTAGCTGGGCATGGTGGTGCCTATAATCCCAGCTACTCAGGAGACTGAGGCAGGAGAATCACTTGAACCCAGGAGGTTGAGGTTGCAGTGAGCTGAGATGGTGCCACTGCACTCTAGCTTGGGTGGCAGAGTGAGACTCCATCTTAAAAAAAAATAAAAAAGAATCTGGATAACATAAATTGGCTCAGGGCTCAGGTGTGATGGTGTCAGTTGGGATTACCTGGGGATGGATTTTAAGCCAAATTTTGAAGGACTGATGTGAAATGGCAGAGAAGAGAAGAAGAGAGAACATTTACTGGGACTACATTGTATATAAGTCATCAAAGGAAAAGAGCAAGTTGTATAGAGAGAGCAAATAGAGTATCTGATATTTTTCTGACATATTAAAGATGGGAAAGGAGCTCCTACTGTGTACTAGGCACCAGCCAGGTGATTTATGTATGCAAATTCAGCCTTCCCAGGAACATCCCTCAAAAGGTACTATTATCTCTAGTTTTACAAATAAGGAATAAAACTATCTTCTAGGGCAAGATTTTAAGATAAAGTAAGATTGCACAGAGGCAGATTTGAAACTGGAACTTAGGTCACATCTGATGCCAGAGTCCTCATTTTTCTATTTGCTGGCAAGGCATAGTTAGGAGTCAGGTACTATGGAACAGGAGGTGACATTATGCGGGGTGTGTGTGTGTGTGTGTGTGTGTGTGTGTTTCAGTAAAGTCGATAAACTGCATCAAGTCAGTTAATGAATTTGAAAGCTACACTTGGGCATTTTTGGTTGCTTTTGGGTTATCCCATTACCACTCCCCTCTGATAGCAGAAGGGAGAAGTAGATGTTAACTTTACTAATTTTGTGGTCTTCTGTTAAAAGGAGAAAAGGAAAATGCCTGGAGTTCCAAATGGAAATATTTGCCACATAGAACAGGAGCCACACGGGGGTCACAGTGGGCCAGAACTTCAGCGCACTGGGCGGTAAGTCCTGGGATGTCTCATAGCAATGCTGCTTATTAGGTAGAAGTTATGTGAAAAAATGAGGCATCCTCTTTCTTTCAACCTTCTTCTCTGTAGTGGGAATTTATTGGCTGAAGAATGACTTTTCAAATGGAAACACTGACTAGAAATATAATGAATATATCAAATATCATATTCATTCATTCAAGTTTCTCAAATCACCCACCATGTTTTGTCTCACCTCCAGTCATTCCTACCATGGTTCCCTCTGATTTGAACACTCTTTCCCTTCCTCATCTCCTGGCTAACTCCTACATATCCTTAGTCTCAGTTCTTGTGTCACTTCCTTTGGAAAGCCTTCCAGGACTCTCTCTGGATGAAGTCAGGTGTACCTGCTATGTAATATCACAGTATTGAGCTCTGACCTTCCTTCCCCACATTACAGCCTTTATCATACTTTATGATTATTGGTTGATTTATTGTCTTTTCTGCTAGACTGTTTGTTCCAAAAGAGAACGGGCTCCATTATATTACTAGGACCCAGCACAGTGCCCTGAGCAGAGTAGACTCTCAATATCTGCTAAATGATTGAATACTTTTAGAATGATGTCTGCTCCATAGCATGGAATGGACTAGGTATGATAAATTTTGAGTGATCATTTTAGGTTAAGAAACTTCCTTAGGGCAGGAAGATAGGTACTATTTTAGGTGTGTGTGCCTCAGAATAGGCAATCTGCTCTTCTAGGCCAACTTTTTTGGTGGGGTGGGGATGGAGTCTCACCCTGTCACCCAGGCTGGAATGCAATGGCATGATCTCAGCTCACTGCAACCTCTGCCTCCCAGGTTCAAGCGATTCTCTTGCCTCAGCCTCCAGAGTAGCTGGGATTACAGGCACATACCACCATAGCTGGCTAATTTTTTGTCTTTTTTTTTTTTTGAGACAGAGTTTCGCTCTTGTTACCCAGGCTGGAGTGCAATGGCGCGATCTCGGCTTACCTCAACCTCCGCCTCCTGGGTTCAGGCAATTCTCCTGCCTCAGCCTCCCGAGTAGCTGGGATTACAGGCACGCGCCACCATGCCCAGCTAATTTTTTGTAGTTTTAGTAGAGATGGGGTTTCACCATGTTGGCCAGGCTGGTCTTGACCTCCTGACCTCAAGTGATCTACCCACCTTTGCCTCCCAAAGTGCTGGGATTACAGGTGTGAACCACCATGCCCGGCCTCTAAGCCAACATTTTAAGGACAGATGTACGAGGAGAAGGCAGATGAGGGAAGCAGGCCCCTAGACTAGGAGATTTTATTCCCTAGGTCAGAAAGTGGTAAAAGAGAATGATATTTTGGGTTGGTGTGACATTCAGAGGTGTCCCCAGATTATGAGAGAAGGTTGAGACTATGGCTGTGTCTCTGTTAAGCTGTGCTGTTAAGAAGGTTCTGCTGAGTAGAGATTCTCAGGGCAGGACTCAGATCATGGAAAGCAGCTTTTATGTCCTCTAACCTTTTGCTTTCTTCTTTTCTGCCTCCTCGCTTGAGGTTGCTTTGCTTACTCTTCTATCCTCAGCACTCTACCCAGTGGAAACCCAGGTTTGTTTTGGAATTGTGGAAAGCATTTTATTTTTCCAATCTTAGAAATTCAGGGAAAAGCCAGGAAAGGAGACAGAGAACAGGAGAGAATGGCACTTGACTGGCAGTTGTCCTGTAGAGGAGCATGTTTTCTGATAGGGAGAATGTATTGGAGTGTAGGGGAAGATGGCTGTGCTCTGGAAGGGAGCATGGGTGGAAAGAAGGTATTCTTGCAATGGAAGAGCCACTGAAAAGAGGAGCAGCCACCCCTTAAAAAAAATAAAACATTTTCTTTAAAGTTGGGAGAGGTCTGAATTGGGTGGGGAGGCCTGGTATCGAGAGGCAGTTCAAGGAAGCATGTGTCCTTAGAAGGGGTTCCAGGATTGACTCTGTCTAAAGGAGGTGGTAATTTTTTCAGGAAAAGTTTTTGAGTATGGATTTGATATTTCAAAATTACAATTTATCTTTTGGACATAAAGGGTGTCCACAGCTTAGTAACTTAGAGTTTGAAAGTAGTAGAATTTTGGGCAACAAGGTTTCCCTCAGACCAATGTCTGTGCAGAGGTGAGATTTTAGGTTGCTATTGGTGCCAAAGAAAATGAATAGATTAGAGGGGGTCGCTTATAATCAATTCCGCATAGGGGTTTGGGAGACCATTAGATTGGATCTCAACAGTTATAAGATCTTGGAAATGGTGTCTGATGTCCCCAAGAAAATCCCATATTGCCAGGATCATCATATGCTTATTCACAAACCCCAAGTATCTTAACTCACAAATTCAAATGGAGTTTGAAAGAGTTATCTCGTAATGTCAAGTCACGAACTTCTGGAATTGACAAAGCTAAAAGGAAGCTCTAGGCTCAGAGCTTAGTTCTGCTTGATATGGGAGATGCTTCCTCTTTCTGAGCTCCTGTCATTTTCCTTAGAGCCCTTAGTAAAGGGCCTCAAGACATATGACCTTCCTCCCATTGTAGCCCCTTAGACAGGGTGACATCATGCCTGCATCAAGGATCACAGTTTCAGGCCAGCTCTGGCCTCTTTCTCAGTCTCAAATTATGTGGGAGGTAAACGTGAGCCTTTTTTGCATGTGGACATGCTATACATTTCTGTACATTCCTGGACTGCACAAACTAAAACCACATTAGCCTGGGTTTTATAATTCTTTGGACTATTAATTGTGTTTCTTTGAGGTGTAAAACTGTTTTATGCTTGCCATGCTTAACAACATTGGAGCAAAACTTAGATAACATCTTAAGGAATGTTATCTTTGTTCGATGGAGACGTATTTGAAGGCAGGGTGAAGTAGACTCTAAGAAGGTGGGAAAGGACTCCATGTATCTTTGGGACCTGTCAGCTGTGGCAGTCTCCCTTCCTAGCCATGGAAGAGCATATTCTTGTTTATTGGCAAAGCTGTCACCATTTAATTGGTATCAGATTCTGACTTGCACAAGTAACATTCTTCACTGTTTAAAAAAAAAAAAAGGTGGGAAAGGAGACAAAATTGAAATGGTACCCTGAGTTCTGTATGATCTGACCCTCCAAGCCAGGGTTAAGACAGATCTTGAACCTCCCTGATATTGACTAAGGCAGGGATGCCATAAGTAAGAAAGTATGACGAGAGTGTTCCTAGGCCAGAAGCTCCACAGCAAGGAGGGTGCTCTGGAAAGAGGTTTTTCAGGATAGATTTATGTCCCTTATTGGGGATGCCACTTTTGGGAAGGGCTGATGGAAAAAGAATCAGGAGCTGCTATCTCGATGATCCCCCACACTTCAAACAGGTTTCTTCCAAAGCATACCAGACAATTGGATGGCTGGCCTGTTTCTAAAGCCCTCCAGGGAAGGGCTCCTTAAGTCAATGCTCCAGAGCCTAGTGACCCTCTACGCAGGTAAGTCCTTTCTTGCATCAAGCTTAAATTAAACTCATATCCCTGTGTGCCTCCTGTCCCAGAAAACTTGAATGTGAAGGACAGTGTTGAAAGGGAAAGGAAATCCCAAGTACAGATAGAAGCATCCCTGCCTGATGAATATCTGTTGTAGATATGCAGTCATAGTCTGATTTTATGCATGAATGATATATGAGTCTGACTCCATAAAGTGTTCAGAAATTATTTTATTAATTTATATTTATACTATCCATATGAGCCTCAGATCTTTTCCTGGCTTTTAATCACTGCTAGTCACATAGATGTCTTCCCTTCTATGGCTTCTCAGAAATTCATTTCACATAAATCTTTTGCCTGTTGTTCACAGACACTCCTGTCCTCCTGTGTCTAGGGGCTGAGTAATCATGGCAGCATCTCAGGTAGCCTCAGAGAGAGAGAGAGAGAGAGAGAGAGAGTGAGTGTGTGTGTGTATGTGTAGGGAGTCACTATTATAAAGGAGATTCTTCTCACAGAATTGTGCTCTCCAGAGGAAGGTGACTGGTAATGAAGGGATAATCATATGGTAATAAGATGCTATGTTAGCTAAGAACCCAAAAATACTTGAATCTTGCCCCAGACAAATTACTGGGGTCTATAAGGTTATTGACAGGCTGTTTACCTAGAGGAGAAAGACAAATTGATGCTTTATTACTAACTGAAGCATTGATCCCAAACCCTGAGGCAGAACTCTTATGATTTAGGCTAAACCAGGTAGATAGCTCCTTTACCTAAGCTAGGTTTGCCAGACAGGCTAAAATTAAGACAGGTCACAAGGCTGGCTTTGCTTCTCTTCCCTATGCCCAAACCCAGATTATGATGTTACTGCCGTAAGTTGAGGAAAGGTGAATCCCAGCTACATCCATCAGAAAAGAGCAGGTGGGTAAGTGTCTGTCCTGTGTCCACCTGCACGCCCATTATACTAGCTAGATGAGAGAGAGTGTTCGAGGAGAAACTGCTGGCTAGACCTTCTCCCCTTGCATACAGATCCCAGGCCTACTCATATACCTCCAGGCTCCTAGGTGAGAGAAGGAAAGAAAGAGCTAACCAAGCCTCCTTCCATGAGAGAATAGCTTGTGGGTTTTAAAAAATAGCTTTTTATTATAGAAAATTTTAAACATATTAAAGAAAGAGAAAATAGTGTAATGAGCCCCCATGTACCCATCAACTATTACCAACATTTTGCCAATCTTGTTTCATCTATTTCTTCCCACTTAATTTTATTTTTATGTTTTCTAGATTATTTTAAACCAAATCACTGACATTTTACCTGTAAATACTTCAGTATGTATCTCTTTGATTAGGACATCATGCCATTATCAAATCTAACAAAGTTAACAATTATTCTTTAAACCGTCTAATGCTCAGTTCATATTAAACTTTTTATGATTGTGTTAGCAACATCTTTTTAGAGTTCATTTGTTTGACATTCTTCACTGTTTAAAAAAAAAAAGAAGGTGGGAAAGGAGACAAAATTGAAATGGTACCCTGAGTTCTGTAT